AAATCTAACTTATCAAACTTATCTCATTATCAAATCTTTCTGGTTTGACTGGACTACTAGAATTGCACTTAAAAGCCACATGCACTGATAAAACCACTAATATATCTTTCCACTGGCAATTTTATCACCATTAGGAAATAAGAATCGGAATTCAATATTATCAACCTTAACTGAACTGAAGTCGGCTAAAATTTCCAAAATTTGAGATTTTTCAAACTCTCAATAGTTGTTAAAAATAAATGAGTTTCTTTTTTTCCCTGTAAACGACTGTATTTCACCAGTAGATCTATTATGGTCGAATGCGACTGGAATCGGTTCCAGTCACTGCAATGATTATAAAAAGGCAATTGAAATTCGGAACGGATCATGTCGAACTGACCTGAATAAGGTTGAACCCAAGTGAGACGGTCCGTTTTATGAAGACTTAAGTGCAGTATGAGCAGTTTTTCTTGGCTTCAATAAATTTGGAGCCAAATGAAATCTCATTATTTTATTAGTCTATGAAGTTTTAAGAATAGGATAGGTATGGGTGTGTTTTTCTATATTTACAATAACAAATCTGGAGTTGGCCCAATCCAAGTTGAGCCAAGTGATCGATACATTTTCCCGGAATCCTCACTGGTTAGACTTTATCGAATCTGGAGGTTTCAGAGGCTGGGACCAGTATTCACTGGGGGATTCCAGAGGTGTTGTTGTTAAAATTCTTCAGGAGAATTTTTGAATTGGAATAGTTAAAAGGTTTTGGGAATATTGCACGTTGTCAGTTGTCAGTTTTATTCGGATTATAGCTCTTACTAAGGAGTGGCTTAACCAATGAAGATTGTTGGTTCTGGCTTCACGATACGTGCGGCTATTTCGTAAAGGGTTTTTCCATCGATGATTGACTAGAGTACAATATTCTGGTTTAACTGGGATATGGCTAAGACTTCGCCACTTTCATATAAAACTGGCTAAAAACCGAATCATAGTAGTAGCTATTTCTGATATGATGACCTTAATATTACTGTTATTATGCCAAGAATTATTGGATTATTATTGGATTAGAACTAATTAAATTAAATAAATTTTAAAAAATTAAAAATAGAAAATCAATAGATGGGGAAAAAACCCCGACCAATTGGACTTATGTAATAGTATTAAGAGCAAGACGATGGCCCAATCGCTTCAGACTAGTGCATGTGACACTTCATGACACAATTTTAATTAAAATCTATTTTCTTAGTTGATATGCGAATCATTTCTATTTTGGCTGATCCCTTTGACTATAAACATAAATAAGATGGCCAGAAAACCTGTTTGGTCCAATATCATCTTTAAAATTAACTGAAACCACTCGCTTTTCTGTTCTCTAAGTCCATATATCATTGAATCGCTTATACATTCCCATAAACAATTAATTTCCTAAAATATTTTGAAACTCATTTGTAATATTTCAAAAAATTATTAAATTCAAACATAATTATGGAAATATTGAAAATATTTTTTATATATTATTAATAAATATTATTTTTATTATAAATATTATTGAAAAAATTATTATTTAAATCTATTATTGAATATTATTATAAATATTTCCGATTGATAAATAAACAATTAAAAAATTTTTTTGAAAAAAAAGAAAAAATAAAAAAAATTGAAATTTCTAATTCTTTTTTCTAATTCTTTACAACATAACAATTCGCATTTGTTTCGTTAAGATTGGAAAAATTTTTATTTTTATTTATTGTAGAATTTATGAAAAAAAAATTTCTAATCATGATGAACGATGCAAATCGGCCAGACATTTTTCTTATTCCAAGTGAAGCATTTTTATAATTCAAGTGAATGTGAACTGCTTGTGAAAGCGCATGTATGGATCCTTGCGAAAGTGCATGAAAGTGTATGCATGCATGCCAATGTATCAATGGACTTATACTTATAAAAAAAATAAAAATAAAATTATATTTTAAAAAATAAATTTTTTGCCAGTCTTTAGCGATATTCCACTAGTATTATTCGCCTGACTTTCCATTATAACCATACAAGTGGTTGGTACTTATAGCATCTTTGGAACTATTGGCTAGTAGGATAAGAGAATTTTGTTTTATCAGAGAGGCAATTGAGGATAAACGTAAAAGTATATACTTTTGTGTTCATATGCCAATTAGTCTGCATCTTCTTCCGCTTCATTTCTTGATTAGATTCCTTTTGAAAAAATACTCGAAATCCGCAGTCATTTGAGCGTATGAGGAAAAATTGCGCACACCATATACCACTTTTTTATATTTTATTCTATTTTTACAGAAGCTAATAATTTGAAATCACTTAAGAATCACCATTTTTTCAATTATATTCTATTCTTTGATTTGAAATTTTTTGAATTTTTTCTACTTTTTTAAAAAAAGTAAAAATTTTTTTATATTTTTAAAATTTCTTTTTTTTGCAAAGAAAAAAATGATAAATTTCAGAAAAATTTTTTTATTATAAATAATGAAAGAACAACACAGAAAGACTGACTTTCGGCTAACAAAAAAAAACAAATCCAAAATTTTTTTTCAAAAATTTTCATGAAATTATTATTTTAAAGAAAGAAAGCGTTTATCAAAATTTAAAAAGAAAACACAAGCGAAAGATCAACCATTATTTCCTGTTTTTTTTTTTATAAAAATTTGAATTGTTTTTTTCTAAAAAATTTTTTCAAAATTCTAAAATATATTAATATAGTACATTAATATTATTATTAATATTATTATTATTAATATTTTTATTAGTACTATTAATAATATTTAAATTTTACATATTTTAGAATATATTTTAGAATATATTCTAAAATATATAAAATTAATAAAAATAATATTAATGTACTTAAGATTTTATTTCATAGATTTAGCTTGGTTATTTATTGCTCTATGAAATTATCGCTTATGTTCTTCAACGAAAATATATAACAAACGAATGGTCCAAAAAAATACGAGTGAAACCAAACGATAGGAACGTACCAAAAATCGTTTACATCGACTACAATCATATATTTTTGTTAAGGAAAAATGAAAAAAGAAAAAAGGAATGAAATAATAGCTATGAAAAATGATAAAAAATTATAAAAAAAATTTTTTAAAAAAAAATTCTAAATTTTGCGTCATGAAATTAGAATCAAATTTATCAAAGGGAAAAATCTCAACATTCCCCCCTCTCCCCTACCCTCCTTCTCCCCCTCGATTTCCATATACCCCTATGCGATCCAGTTGATTCGAGTCAGCCAACCTTTTTTTCACCAATAATATTCGACTAAGTGATGACCGTTATATACGTCTATACAATGCCTCCCTCCTCCTCCTCACTCCAAAATCACGTACTATGGTACTATCCATTCCTTTATTGCCAAAAACCCCTCCAACATACTTTTAAGAATATTTAAATGACCGATCAACTTAATCAATTTTTGCTTTGAAATATTTCCATCAGTTGGCTGGTTAAGAGGATTAGAAAAGCAAGTCTTAATCCGGCTAGATTTTCATTTCATTTCATTTCATTTAGTGCACCGCGTCCAACCACTACGGCGATAAAACACCCCCTTTTTTGCATAATTCTCGTCCTTTTTCTATTAGAAATTCGGTGTTTCGGACTAAAAGTGAAAAAATCCATGGCGCTCCGCTGGAACAATTCACCAAAATATTCATTAATTCAAAAAAAAAAACAATTAAATGAACAAATAAACAAAACATCAAGAAGTCAGTCAGTTATAGAAATTTCTTTTTTTTTGTAATTCAAATATATATTAAAAAAAAAAAAAACATTCTTCTACAACACCAACAATACAATACAATTACAATACATTGCAATACAATACCATACATTACAATATTTCTATTCGAGAATCAACAATTAACAGTGTATATTCTTATATATTCTATAAAATAACTGGCGAACACATAAATTATAACTAATTTAACCAAAATTTTATCAATAAATATATTTTATCTTATCACAAGCTTTAGTGTTTTTTTTTAGCATAATTACAATTGTTGCCAATACGCTTTATTATCCACTATAATATTTAGCTTTAATCACAGTTTCACTAAATAAAAATTACATGCAAAATAAAATAAAGTGATAGCCAATCAATGGCCAAATTTATCAAATGCTTTATTTTCTTTATGACCACATTTTTTTCCCAGTCAATTCCCATTTATGAATTCCCATTTTTCTATTTTTTCAAACGAATTCAAATCCAGGCAACTCTTTTTTTTACAAGCAATTATATATAAGTAATATTTTCAAGTAAGGTTCATGCAAAAAGGGAAAAAAAACTAAGGGGATGCTATATTCGAAGAAAACTAATTCAGTGGTCATCCTTCAGTTCATTTAAAAAATAACGAAGAAAAGCAGTAAATTCACAAAAAAAACCATTTTAAAACAAATTATAGCAGTTAAGATATTTGGCGTGAAAAAAAATGAAATTCGAAAGAAAAATCCATCCTAATTTGGCACTAAAATGAGGTAAACATATGATAAATTTGCAGGTAATTCCTCTCAAAAGAATAAATAAATACTTTTTTTTATCTCTTATATTTTAGCCAACAATAAATTATTATTTTAATTATTATTACTAATGAAGAATTAAATGAAAAGAAAAAAATTTTCATAATTTATTAAAAATTTACTTTTGGAGAAAATAAAAAAAAAAATCACCAAGAACGAAATTATTTCAATAAAAATAGCATTTCAATAACCCTATTAAATTGCAAATTGCAATTTTTTCTGAAAAAAATTTAGGATTTTCCATTTTTTTTTCAAAAATTTTCATTCAAAATTTTCGTAAATAATGAAATAATTCAAATAAATTTTTCTTATTTTTTTTTTATTTTTCTGTTTCCAATAAAATTAATTAACATTTAGTTTAAGAAAAATTTTCATAAAGAACGAAGAAAATAAAAAAAAATTAATTTCCTCCAAAATTCCATCCATCATCATCATTTTTGTTGTCATTCTATTGGCGATATTGTTTGGTGAGACATATTTCATCCAGTATTACTACTGCCAAGAGGTGAATGACGATAACATGAACATGATGATGAAGAATTGCTTGATGAATTCTCCGACGATACGCCACTGTCTCGATTTGTCGCAAGTCCACCATTACTACATTGTAATTGAAATAGGCAAAAATCGGCTGGTGATAGTTGAGTTTTTATAAGAACACGCTTAAATGGCCTTATATATTTGAGGCAAACGATATCGCGTCGACAAACGATACAGTCCATTCCAGTACGATTTTCTTTTAATGCATGCTGAAAATAAAGTTTAAAAATTAACTAAACATTTGTTAACTTAATATTTCGCTAATAATATTTGACTCCAATCAAAAAACTTGCAAATGCCTTAGACAATTGGCCAACCCACTAATTCAACTAGAAATGATATATATATATTGAAAATCTAATCATCAGTGACAATTAAACCAAAAAAAATGCTGTTATTATGAGAAAAAAGAGTGAAATCACGACTAAAATAATTACAATAATCCTAAAAGCAATTTTTATAGAATTATTTTTTTTTTATGAACACCTCGCAAATGTTTTAACATTCCAAAGATCATATTCATTTAACAGCTGCAACAAATGACTTCTAATGAAATTAGAAATGTTAACTCATTCCACTCTTTTCCAGAAAAATAATCTATTAAAACCAATGTATATGATCTTTAATGACTATTTAATGATAATAAGAATCTCAACTCGTGATAATATCTTATCAGTTTTTAAGATTATGAAAAAGAGTAATAAAATAAGGATTATTTCTCCTGAGCTTCGCATTCATGAATTCACTTATTGCCATCCAAATTAATTCTCTGTATCGATTTTAAAGAATGATAAATGAAGATAAAACCGGTGTCATCTTTATTCCCCCCCCTCCCCTCCCCCCTCTCCCTTCCTCTCATTAACAATTCATGTCTATAGAAATTTTAATTTATTCATTCCTGTATAAAAAAAACTTCTATTTTCATTATAAAATAGCATTCATCATTCCCGGTTTGGTTGATTCCAGTGACAACTAAATCAATTTTATCCACCAACAGCCATTTGGGAATAACGAGATACGTGTGGGCTCACTACAATTTCACTTTTAATGGCAGGTTGACTATCATCGAAAGAATGATATCACAGTGCTCACCAACAATTGATCAATATTGAAAATCTAATCATCAGTGACAATTAAACCAAAAACACTATCTTACAAAATTCCTTTTATTGTTCCTTATCACTATCTTATCTCTGCCTAATTCGTGGATAATTTATTTTTTACCGATTATTTAAATTCAATTTAAATTCTAGACAAATTTCTCACTCAAAAATTTTTCTATAGCAAAACAATAATAAGCTGTCTAATCGAAAACAAAACTTTTTTTCCCTACAAAATGGCGTGGCGTCTCAATTTTCCAAGCGGATTTTCCAAGCTTTTTAAAGTGTCTATGTCTATTTAAAGAATCCATCGATCATATTAACCAACAAATTTTCTTTTTTTTTTAGCACCATAGACTTAAATCTGCACATATAGCCACGTTTCCTTGTCTCTCTTTATTTAGCCACATTAAATTTTCTAGCTTTTCATAGAGCAAAACCACCATCAACTCAACCCTATTGTTACGATCTTCTGCTATTATCTGAGAAAGAAGAACACTCTCTACCACTAGTCGGCGTGATCCGATATCTTTCCCGTCATTTTCATGAATTAAGAAGAATAAAATTAGGAATTGTGTTCAAAAATAATATAAGTAATAAATGAACCTCAATTAAATTCACCGCACATTTCCTGCAAAAAACTTTATGTCCACAGGGGAATGCTCGAACCGATGCACGACGTTGAACGCAAATATAACATTCTTCATCGTTCTCTTCTGCGAAATCTTCCGAATCACTTTCAAATTTTTTCTTTAATCGAAGCTGAAAAAAAATTTAATTTAAAAGAAAATTTAATTTACAAAATATTAATTATCAGTTATCTACGATCAATTACCAGCTATCACTTATCCATAATAAAATATTAATTGTCTATTATCTGTGATCAGTTATCAGCTATCAGCGATCTATAATAATTTTCATAACTGATAACGCTCTGATTCACTGATAAATCCGCTAAAAAATTGTCGTTATATTTTTTCTAAATAAATCTCAAATTTATTAACAATTTAAATTTCATCTATTCTCTCAAATTCAATCGGAAATTTATTCATATTCCTTTCAAATTCAAAAAAATAAATAATTAAAAACCTTATAACATTAACAGAAAAGAAATAAAATTAAAATAATGAAGGCCAATAAAATAAAAATATGATGAAAATGGATGAATTAACGAGGATCGAAAAAAAAAACTATTAAAAAGGCATTCGCATGCTAAAGAAAAAAATGTTGTTGCTAAACGCTTATTTTTTTATATCGATAATTCCCGAGGCGATTATTTGCATACTGTATTACCCCCCATATCGCTGAAATCCATTGCAAATTCAGGCAATTTTTTCATAAAAAATTTATAAATTTCCATTTTAAAAGTGAAGGTGATAATGTTTCTTCGAAATTTCGAATAATTTCTTATGCTTAACGATTAGTTAATGCGAATTTTCTGCTCTCATTTAAGAATGAGCGAATTTAAATTTAATTTTATTTAAATTTATAAATTTAAAATTCAAATTTTGCACGTAAAAATTGAAAACTTCGAAAACTTAGTTAATATAAAAATTATCAATTTAATTTATTATGAATTTATTAAATTTATTGTTTAGAAGTCATTAAATAATATAAATAATAAATTAAATAATTAAATAGAATTCAAAAATCCATTCCAAAAGAATTTTTCAAAAAATTTCTGCAATAAATGAAATGAAATAAAATTCGAGACAAAATAAGAGAAGTGGGCTTGCTATTCATTTGAAATGAAATAATTAAATTAAAATAATAATAAATTAATAAAAGAAAACATTCAATACAATATTCAAATAATAATATTCAAATTACCAACTGACGCCATAAAAAAATAAAATAATTATTTATATTTGTTTTTAATGTAATCACTTATATTTATATTATAATTTTTTATTATAAAATTACTTAATGCAATTTAATGCTTTAAAAAATATTTATCATTATTTATTTACATCATTATTTATATTTATGTTTACAATTGTTTAATATATTTATCGTGAAAATTTATATTTATTATTGACCGATAAAAATTAATATAATATTGTAAAATATTTTTATGTGGATATGAACGACTAGACAAATAATAAATTTTGCTTTTTTTTGAATCAGCTAATTCTTTCTTTTTTTTGTTGCATGTAGTCAATAATTTCAATAATTTTCTTCTTCATCATCATGCATGCAAGAAAAATATTTCATGAAACCTAACTGTTTTTTTTATTTAATTTGGTCCAATGCTTTTAATAAATAAAAATATTAGACGACCGACGATGACGGCGACGACCACCCAATAAGAAAACTGGAAATTTAAAACTAAATTTATATTGAACTAAAAGAAAAAAAAATTTTTGGTTATGAAATGGAAAAAAGGAAGGAAAAAAAGTAAATTGAAATTGTTCTTCAACACTGCAGAAAATCTAGATTATATTCATCCGTCGTCCAACTACTTATAGTTATCCTAAGTGATATGATAAGGAATACTTTGTATAATATGATAAGCAAGAATGCACAATTATCTTTTAATGCCTACGTATGTATATAAATCCCTCTTTTGCACCCTATGGATGTTAAGCATCAATTCTGGTTCTGTTCTGGTAGGTTTATTTTATGCCAGGTAACAGGAATCGAATTTCTGGTCGAAGAAACATACCACACGACCATCCTGCATGATGTTTTTTGGTAATTCAATTACAGGTGAGGAAATCTTCAGCAGTAATTCTATATTTCTACAACCTGAGGTAAATGTACCTCGACCACCAAAAATGATCTCGTCCTACCAAACATTTTTTCAGCGAAATATCAAAACGGCCGAAATTCGACCATTCTGCTGCTCGCCGAATAATTTCCCATAAATCTTGACCTATCATTAATTCTAGCATAATCATTTTATCCATAAATTATAAAATTATTTATTAGTGGAAAATTTAACTCTCTCCTGATTCAATTAATCAAATATATAAATGACGATTTTTATTTTCAATTTTTCAAAGGGAAAAAATGAATAAAAAATAAATAAAAAATGAAAAATTAACATTATGGCATTTCAGTAATAATTATTATAATTTATCATCGAAAAATGAATAATAAAAAACCATTTTGGATAAAATAATAATTGAAAATTATTTTAGCAACTATAATTAATAAACAAAAAATAGCAAAACAAAAATAAAATGTATTGCTGGCTTTAATAACTAATTAACTCCATTTGTCGGCTGATTTACTGAAATTAAAAAAAGAAAAGATGAATAAAAAGTGGAAAATAATATTCAAAGAAAATTTCTCAGTAAGATTTTCCCCTCAAAATGCCTCTAATGCAATAAAATCCCCAAAATTAAAGTTTTCTGCTCCCCAAAGGATCATATTTTCTCGCAGAACACAGTACCAATAGAACTTTCTATGAAACAAGAAAAATTTTCTAGCGAAAATCCCCTCGACTCGAGCTTTCATTTCCCAAGTAACTATCTAATTTTCCTTGCTAAATACCCATAGGAATATACTCTAATTACAAATAAAAATCGCAATGATTTTGATTGACAAGTAAATATTCGTGAAAATGAAAAATTTTCTTCTCTGAAAAAAAAAAGTGAATAGAAATATTTCTCGATTTATTTTCGTTTTTCCTTTTTTTTCACCATCGATAATATGTCACCATTTCATAACGAACATACATAAACAAAGTTATTCTCGCAATTGCCTCACTCGCAATTGACTATCCCGCAATTTATCTCTATCGTTATTAATCGACAAAAAAAAAACGTTGATTGGCTTATAACGATTTAATGTTTAATCAAGCATTAAGCAAAAAAATTTCCTTTTCATTTCTTTAAATCAGAATTTTCCATCTCTTTTTTTACACAAAAAATAACAATTTCCCAAAAAAAATTTTTTTTTCTAGAAAAAAATTTGCTAAAAATTTAAACAACAAAATTTTCATACATAAATGTTTTCGGCTATTCCGTTTGAAATTCGAAAAATGCTTGATTCGAGCACTCTCTTTAATTTATTCAGCTTTCGCATTAATCATAAAAAACGAGCGAGGACGATATTTGACACCATTGTTAAACTTACTTGAAACGAAATCCAAACAAACAAACTCAAGCGAAAGTAAAAAGCTAATAAGTAAAAGTAATCATTTTATGAGGAATATTGATCGGATGGCGTTGCCGAAGACAGGCACCGACGCAGAACTTCCATTATTTCTAACCTCGCAAGACCCAGTGAAGACTTATCTGGCCAGGAAAGGCCATGAAACAACAGACGGCCCGCTGATAGTAGAAAATATACTAAAAATGTGCTGCCATTGGAAGGCGGAAAAAAAATAGGGTCTTCTCCAGTTATGTCTTATTATTATTGAAAAACATTATTTTAGCGGCTCAAACCCTTTCCTTTTATCTTTTTTCTCAACAGCTCATCATTTCTGATTACACTAACCCGCTGGCTGTGACGGATAAGACAAATTTTGCCAAGCGAGTATTTAGCGATAGAAAAAGAGATATGTCTCCAGAATCCACGACGAGCGCAATGACCCACTAATCCACTCTATTCCTTCCAAATCCGCTAATTATGGCCACTTAAATTTCTATTTTAACTCTACCCTTACAAAAATGCTTAAAAAATAATAAATCCGGCCATTTCCATAACTGAAAATCGTACGCTGACGCCTAAAATTCAGCCATATACTCAAGATTACTAATGGTCGGATCTCGTAAATTTTCATAAAACTACAAATATGGTAAATATTATCAGCTTACTGAGCAATAAAAGCATTATATATTATGATAATTTCTGACTCGTTTTCTCCGCTCACTAACATTTTCGTTAAAGATTTTCTCTTAAAGAAGAAAATGGATAGTTAAGGAAAAGCCAACCGGGTTACGGTTTCGAACCGAGTTCTTTTTCGGTTATTTGTCTAGACACGGCTGTCGCCGTCGTCCTCATCGTCATTCAGTTGATTGACCCTCCCCTCTTCTTCCCCTTTGCCAGGAATAACTAATGAAGAAAGAACACGAGAAAGTTAGGCGAAGGAAATTAAATAAGAAATAAAAGGAATACAAGGATAAAAATAAAATAGGAATAAATAGGAATAATGACAATAAAATGAATATTTCTATTCGAATAAAATGAATAAATAAAAATTAAAAATAAAAATTTAATAAAAAAAAGAGAAAAACTAACAATTGTAGCACGAATGTTCTGCCGCTGGGTAAGAGATGAACGATTCTGACGATTAAAATAAGCAGAGAAAATCGAAGAAGGATTGGAAGAAGAGGATGAATTGGTAGAAGTGGAAGAGGAAGAGGACGATGAAGAAGAAGAAGACGACGACGAAGATGAAGCTGATAATATTTGATAACCACCAATAGTTAAACGCATCATATCATTATTATTAGTCCTATTAATAAATGGTGGATTATTATCAGCAATCAGCTGATTCTTATCAGTGGTCAGCTGATTATCATAATTGGTCAATAGTTGATTATTATCAGTGATGCTTTGATTAATATGATAAAATTTTTTTTTGACTAAATCAACCAACTCAGAAAACATTTTAGTTTATAGGCAGCGAATAGATCGAAATACATACATATTGATAGCAAATGAGTGACATAAATCGCACATTCACATACACACATTCACATTCATTCACATACACAAACATATGAAATGCCCAAGAAATCAGCCAACACGACTGCCCAAGAATATTTATATTATAACTAATAACGATAACAATAATATTTATAGAGGAAGAGACCGGGTTGCGGGTTCGAATCGAGTTCTTTTTCGGGTTGTGTGTCTAGACGCGGCCGCCGCCGTCGTCGTCGTCGTTATTCAGTTGATTGACTTTCCCCCTCCCCTCTTCTTCCCCCTCCCCCCTTCATCCTATTTCTCTCTCTTTCCTCTACTTCTCTCATTTATTCTCCACTCTTTCTTCCTATGCTTTTTTTCTTTTCCATTGCCAGACTTCCTTTTTTCTCTTGCTTCTCTCGTTTTTTCGTAGTTTCTTTCATTTTCCCAACAGTCTTTTGTAAATCTTTTTATCACACTCAACTATCTGCATTCACCATATATTCTATGTAATTCGTCTGATATGCTTCACTCTTGCGAAATTATATATTCTATCGGTGGCGCATTTATTACGTCATTTTACGTATTTCCGTTTTTTTCCGTGAGAAAATACATTTGAGTTTAATTTTTTTTGAGGATTTTCACGAATTTCACGTTAAATGTAAATTTATAATTGACACGTTCATCGCGTAAATGTTTTCAATTGTGTAAAAATTTCAT